GTTACAGAAAGCCTGTGTCTTGTCTTTTTAAAGGTGACATTAAGAGTGTTAGGCACAAATATCCCATTGAATTTTAAATCCCAGATAAAATATTAAGCTACTTTTTAAATAGGTTATTAGATACCTGGATCTCAAGAAGTGAGCAGGCACATTAACCCCACTGGACAATGAACAGAAGAGAGCGATGGGCAGTATGTGTGACTTACTGGACACTTTGCAGGCAGGATTCCTGGGAGAAGAAGGTTGAAGGGAGAAATGAATTCATGAAACCTACTTCCCACCCATGTTAGTGATCTTGTGGAGCTGCCTGAAGAATGGGTGTTTGGTTATGAAAATCAGGTAGTACAGAAGGTTGAGATGATATCTGGATGAGTCTAAGAAGTTGTGCTGCGTTTCTCCATCTCCAGATGTTCTGGAGTGTCATTGCTTTGAGCCTGCTGTTAGGTTTACCTACCACCTGGGCTCTGAGCATCACTTCTCAGTGTGCTTGTAGAATCATCATAAAAAGCATGTGCTTTATCAAATGTCATGCCACTAGAAACTGCCTCAGAGGTTCTGCATGGCAGCCCACAGTCACTACTAAAGGGAAAACTTCCTCCTAGCTAAGAAGCCATAGGTGCTGGGTCCTGAAGGGAGTCAGAGAGCTGTATCTGGACCAGAGGCATATGGAGCACCTGACCAGTGGAGAGCTGAAGGGGGAAGGGAAGGGAATTGAAGTCTTTCCTAATGGGGCTCTCCTCACTTGGACAGCAGCTGTTTCTGCTGCCGCTGCTCTTGTAGCATTGCAGGCTCATACTGCTGCTACCAACAAACAGCAGTACAGGCTCCCTGGGGGCCCCTCCTGGTATCTTGTTCTCTCCTCTCTACAATCCCCAGTCACATGGCAGTGCCTCTGATGGTAAAACCTCTGGGAGGGGTGTCATTTAAAGCCTTGATTTGATCTCTCAAAACAGTCTTTGAAGCCCATGTTTAGGCACCAAAACAAGCCAGTTTACTTTCAATTTCCCAAGGATTTCTGCAGGAAGCTTGAGAGCATAAATATCAGGCTGCATTTTTAGGTGCTTAACCATGGATTTAGGTACCTGTTGTTTTGAACAATCTAGGGTGAGCGTTCTGGATCACCTAATTCTCATCATCAACTTCTTAGTTTCTGCCTTCAGTAAGAAACAAGTTGAAAAACGTAGTCAATAAGTTTCTCAATTTTGCAAGTATTTTCTAATTTCCTTAGGCAATTAGAATGTTCTTGTCAACAGAGAGCACTCTATAGCCTGGACTAAAGCTTTATAAACTTGTTAGCATATATTCAAATGCCTACACATTTTCATACAATGTAATGCAATGAAACAAAAGGAAAACATTCAAGTGTTCTATGATAGGAGACAGAGACACGCATTATCAAATAATCTGGCTGAAGTTATAAATATATAATAATATTTAAATTTACTAATCAGACTGCTTATATCTAAAGGCCATTATTTACTTTTTACATTTAAGGGCTTTACATCATACACACATAATAAAGAAATGGAAAGTCTGAATCGCTTTACAAATGTGATACCTCATCACCCTCTCAGATTTAAGGAAAAAAGTGTACTTGGAAAATTAAAACTTTGGTTTCTAGGGTTATTCAGAGGGAAGATACAGTGATACATACTGAAGACATGGACATAGGTGTCTATTTTTTAACTGTGCCCCTTTGTACAATGTGCTTCAGATCACCAGAATTAAATGGTACTTAACACTATGCTCTCTGAAAAAATGTTCAGAAATATCATACAATTTTTCAACCAACAAAAGCTGATATAACTCCAAAAATTATTTGTAGTGTTAAAAGGACTATATGTTTTACATGCATGCAATATGCAGACAGGGCCAGACTGGCACAACATAGAAATGAGACAGGGACATCTTATGCAAGGCCTATATTTTCTAGTTAGATTTCTGAGTCTCCAAAATCCTCTAGCAGTTTATTCTTCTAGGTTTCAAATATTTATTGACTTTTAATATTCAGTTTAATGTTCTTCTCATCTAAAGGGCAAATTTTAGAAAGGTAAATTTTCCATTTGAGCAGATATTAACAAGAACATAACAGCATACCCTCATATAATGGAGTGCCAGTTTACCTTGATTGAGAGGCAAAGTAATTGGATTGGTGATTGGATGGGTATGTCTAACAAAGCAAGTCAAGGGGGTGGGAGGCTAAAATTTAAATGTAAACAAATTAATAACTATGATAAGGCTTTTGCAACACAACTTCAGCATTTGCTCTTACCCAAGTCATGAAAATAATGTCTGCTGTACCTCCTGTCTTTAAGAATGGCTACAAATATGTATTCGAAAGAAGAGGGGAGAAGGATACTCTTGTCATTAAAGCATAAGACCTGGATGTCAGGAGATCCAATTTATAGTCACAGTTTTGCCACATTTGCTGTGTAACTTAGGACAAATCATACCATTTCTTCCTACCTCTGTTCCCCCAAATTTCAACCAATTTAGTAACATTTAAGTACAAGTGGGCGTGTCTACATGAGCCGCTACTGCACAGTGGTTACTACACATTTATTTAGTACTTTTATAAACAAGTACTAAATAAATGTGCAGTAACCAGAGTTACTGCACAGTAGCGCTGGCAAATATCTTTTAAGTGATGTTACTGAGCCTAATACTGTTGCACAGTAGTGTATTAGCACTGTTAGTACTGAAACGCACTACTGCACGGTAATATTTGGCTACTGTGCAGTCAGCGGCTAGTGTAGACATGCCCAGTGTGTAGCAAAGTATGTAATCACCTGTTGTTCATTTGTAAATAAACAAAATACCAGGTTTATGGGGATCTTGTGAGACTTAATATTTAAGTTTTTCAATGCATTTTCAGATTCTCCACTAAAATATAGAAGAGCAATGCAAAGCATTGTTAGAATGTTTATACCCCTTGTGATAGCCATTTTTACAATTACTAATGTTTCTGTTTAAAAAATTTCCAAGATCTTGATTTTCAATGTGTGTGCAATTTGAGCGCATGCAAAAATACATGTGTAAATTAAGGAATTATACACTTCACTGCATACGTTTAAGGTTATTTGTTTGTTTAAAAATTGGGCCCATTTTCATACTTGAGTGTTTACATTAGGGAGTCTAACCTCTTTTCACACACTTAAATTGGCATTTATCACCCTTCTAAGCCCTGACCTTAAACTTACATATGTGGTAAACTTTACTACTACAAGTAACACCCATTGATTACAGTAGTAAGGATCAGTGTCTGTGTGTGAACAGAATTTGGTCCATATAGGTTAGAGCTTTCTGTATTTCTCAGCTATGTTCAAACTTTCACTTGTGTGAACAGTAGACACTTGCACAAAACAATGCAAACAACTTTCCATCAGTGTTTGCAAGGTACAATAGAATGGAAATATCAGCTCCTTGCATATTACAAAAATCTTCAAAAATAATAATCTTTGATTTACCTATGTGTGTGTTTGTTTATTTGGGATAATTTGGGCATGTAACTATATATTTCAATATTTAAACAGATTAAAAGGACAGCATTTGAAAGGTTGTGGGTATATGTGGTACAGTACCTACATGAATTCTAGCCTGAGATTGCTTTGTTTTAACTTTGGCAGCCCCACAGCTTGGCTCCCATATTAAAAGGCATGATGTATTTCCTCTTATTTATTATTTGCACTGGGCTACTGAAGAAAAAAAGCAGTGAAGTATGCCTATGAGTCTAAATGTTCTCTGCCAGGAATAACAGTGAAGCACTTGCACCAGTGCCTCATTAGCTTATGGAAAACAGTTCCCTAAGGAAACTGCAGGGTGTAAATAAATTTAAAACATTTCAGTCTTGCAAGTAATAGGAATGCCAAATTTGTAAAACAGTGGTGGCTCCATAATGGTGTAACATTCTGTTGCACATATCATAAATTTAACATAAGTTCTACAATATGTTTATAAGCAACATAAAGAGAAATTATCATGGACATACGTATTTTAAATGTAAAATGCATGCGTGATTTTCTTAATTTATAAATGGTATTTTAAGAGAGGCAGGAATCTCCTCATTAGATGTGTTCAATATAAAAGCAAAAAGTTCCCTTTTCCCCTTGATGTATGCATGTAATTCTCACTGAGAGTAAAAGGAGTTATACAGTGCATGAAGGTGACACCATAACCCCACAGTTTCTGCTAAATGAGCTCTGACTTGCTTTAGGTTTACACACTAAAAACAACAAGGTATAACACATATTAGATAAATATCTCTCTCTATGGGCATAATGAAGTTTAAACCTCTGGACTAAATTCTGCAATCAGAGATAATGATAATAGCCTAACAAGTCTCATTCATGAAATGGACATTAGAAAACAATCCAGTTACTTCACACCAGTAACATGGATTTCAGCCCACTGAACAAGGTCTTGGTAGAGTTCAGCACTGCCTTCAGATCCACAGGTGCAAATCCCAATATATTCAATGAGAGTTGCCATGTAACTGAAAGCAGATTCAGGCCCCTGTATTGTTTAAACATATGGTGAGAGCTCAGCCAACTGATATTCAAAGCTAGGTATAAGAATGTATTAGTCAAAGTTTCTTATTCTGTTGCCAAACAGAAAATGGGTTTATTTGTTATTCTTTAACCTGAAGCTATGAAGTACATTGTCAAAACTTAGATTAATAACACATGAAACATTTTTTGTGGATTTTGGAAAACCTGCATTACAAAAGATAAGTGAAAATATCATTCTACAAAGGATTATTCAAGAGAATATTTCATAGCATGAAAAGACCAAATACCATATATTTCTTGAGTCAGATGCTGTATTAATTAAATGCCCTGTGACTAAATATATCAAAAAAAGAAAGCTATACCAGGAATATCATTTTTGACATATACTATATATGTTAGTGATATATAAAAAGGTGTTGCATAGCATTTTATTCACAAAATGTGTTGTGAGCAATATGGAAGTGACAAATATAATCCAAAAAATGTGTGGTATACATGCCTCATATGACCAAAAGCTGTAGCCCCTCTCAGATTGGATCAACTGTCTCTATTCTGTTGTACTCTGTCATCTGTCACATAGTGTCCAAGGACATTTGTAAGAAAAAGGAGTTCTCTGGGCTCATCTTGAAGTCTGAAATTTCAAAAGAAAATGCAAAACAAGTGTTAAAATGTATGTTTGTGGTCATTCTAACTGAAATGATGATTTTTAGTATTTCAAGTTGCAGTTTAGTCATCTGATGGCAATTGGTACAATTTCCACTTAACTTTTTGGAGCAAGATTGTATCTGTCCCAAGCTGCCAAAAAATTCATGAAGCAAAAATTCTCCAGAGACCATCCTAGATTTATATAATGTTACTAGATATTTATATTTACTGTGGGACTTCTACATTAGCAGAGATGTGTGTGAAAATATATGAAACTAGCCATCTACCGTGTGCCTGTACATCTGGGAAAGCTACTGCTATCAGTTATTTCATCTAACGTCTGCAATAACTTTTTACTGGACCTGGCCTTCATCTAAGCCAATATCAGCATGGAAGAATTTGATTTAATAATGTCCTTTGCTGTTAAAAAAGTCCTCCCTCCTCCCTCCTTGAGAGTCCATTAGGCTGAATGAAGAAGTATAGATGACCAGGTTACGAGACGCCTGGACACAGGAGGAGGGGTGGATGTCGTATACTTAGACTTCAGGAAGGCCTTCGATACGGTATCCCACCCCATACTGGTGAACAAGTTAAGAGGCTGTGACTTGGATGACTACACAGTCTGGTGGGTGGCGAATTGGCTGGAGGGTCACACCCAGAGAGTCGTGGTAGATGGGTCGGCTTTGACCTGGAAGGGTGTGGGCAGCGGGGTCCCGCAGGGCTCGGTCCTTGGACCGATACTCTTTAATGTCTTCATCAGCGACTTGGACGAGGGAGTGAAATGTACTCTGTCCAAGTTTGCAGATGACACAAAGCTATGGGGAGAAGTGGACACGCCGGAGGGCAGGGAACAGCTGCAAGCAGACCTGGACAGGTTAGACAAGTGGGCAGAAAACAACAGAATGCAGTTCAACAAGGAGAAATGCAAAGTGCTGCACCTAGGGAGGAAAAATGTCCAGCACACCTACAGCCTAGGGAATGACCTGCTGGGTGGCACGGAAGTGGAAAGGGATCTTGGAGTCCTAGTGGACTCTAAGATGAACATGAGTCGGCAGTGTGACGAAGCCATCAGAAAAGCCAATGGCACTTTATCGTGCATCAGCAGATGCATGACGAATACGTCCAAGGAGGTGATACTTCCCCTCTATCGGGCGCTGGTCAGACCGCAGTTGGAGTACTGCGTGCAATTCTGGGTGCCACATTTCAAGAGGGATGCAGATAACCTGGAGAGGGTCCAGAGAAGGGCCACTCGTATGGTTAAGGGCCTGCAGACCAAGCCTTACGAGGAGAGACTAGAGAAACTAGATCTATTCAGCCTCCGCAAGTGAAGGTTGAGAGGCGACCTTGTGGCTGCCTATAAGTTCATCACGGCGGCACAGAAGGGAATTGGTGAGTATTTATTCACCAAGGCACCCCCGGGGGTTACAAGAAATAATGGCCACAAGCTAGCAGAGAGCAGATTTAGATTGGACATTAGGAAGAACTTCTTCACAGTTAGAGTGGCCAGGGTCTGGAACGGGCTCCCAAGGGAGGTGGTGCTCTCCCCCCCTACCCTGGGGGTCTTCAAGAGGAGGTTAGATAAGCATCTAGCTGGGGTCATCTAGACCCAGCACTCTGTCCTGCCTATGCAGGGGGTCGGACTCGATGATCTATTGAGGTCCCTTCCGACCCTAACATCTATGAATCTATGAATCTATAAGATGCAACATAAGCAACCCTTTGAAGTGTAAAGCACATGGATCCACAGTTTGATGCTTTCTGACCCAAATACTTTGAATTGTGCACTTAGATAAGATCTGCTCAGCACCTACAGTTCCAATGGGTGCATCTGTGATCATGCGAATTCAGTATCAATGAAAAAGGCAACTTTTTCTTAAGATATCAATATATGGATGTTAAGTGGGAAAGTTGTATAATAGACTAATCATAATATAGAACTTCCCTAACTGGTAATTATTATAAGAGAAATTATGGGGCTGATTTCATTTTTTTTGTAAGGTATCTTGAACTCCTTAGATGGATGGTGCCAGAGCCAGCCTTAGGGAAAATGGTGCCCTGGGCAAACTTGTATTTTGTTGCCCCTCCCCCCTCTACCCCCCCGCCATGTCACTGGCACTTTGTGGGGGGGTGAAGTGTGGATGTGGGGAGGTATGGGCGTGGAGGGGCGTGGGTGTGGGTATGTGAAGGGTTAGGGAGGTGTAAGGGTGTGGGGATGTGTGTGTGTGTGTAAGGGCCATATATGCCTCAGCAGCTGTGGATGGCAGGGGATCCCATGGGCTATTGCAGGGCAGTGTGTGTCCACTCACCCAAGATGCTGGCCTGGTGCTGGGAAGCAGGGGCTCAACATGGGGTGGCAGGAAGGGCAGGCAGGTGGGCTGCAGGCAGGGCTACCCACACAGGAAGACTAGTCCCAGCAGCAGGCAGTGCCACCCAGCCTCCCACACCCTCAGCAGTGGTGGCAGTGACTGGGGAGGCTACAGCTCAGCCAACCAGCCCCAGCAAGCCAGTGATGGCAAAGCCCTTGGTGCACAAGCTGGGGCTGCCCAGTTGCACCACCTTCTTGCTGGGCATCCCTGCCTTGCCCTTATCCCAGCCCTTGGCATCCTCCTCCTACCATGCTGCCTGGCAGCGCCTGCCACCACCACTGCCACCACCACCACCGTCTGGGGATTTTTAAGCCACTGCCCTGGCCAACCGACTCCAATCAGCTCTGGGAGCTGGCTGGGAGGAGCAGGAGGATAAAGCTGGGAGGAGCTGGCTGTTTTGATCTGGGGGTCCTGATTTATCCTCACCCTAGAACAGAGCTTTCTTGGAGCACAATACTCTGCAAGCCTGGAAGGAAAGGAAGCAAAAGACCCTATACTCTATTCCTCCCTAATCCTTGTGCACTCCTACCACAAAACTTGCCTGTATTGTCCATCACATTCCATCAGAAGCTTTAACAATGTCCTGGTACTAACCCCCTTCCTAAGCATTCTCAACACCTTCCCTGGCCTTCACCCATAATCCCCGCTTACTTTCCCTGTAAGCTTTATACAGCTTTATACAGACACACAGGATTATGGGATATGAATGCAAAGGACTGTGGGTCTGGTTCAGACAATAAATCATGGGTGTTTTTTGGGGGAGGGATGTAACTGAGAAAGTTTGCAAACCCCAGTTCTATTGCCCTTGGCAATGCAGCCAAAACATACTTGTATCAAACTGACCAACAGGGTGTCAGACATTGCGTTCTGCTGATCATTTTCTATTACTGTATCTGTCAAGTCTGTTAAAGCACATGCATTGTCTTGTGGGAAATAAATCTATGGCACATAGAGAGAAACAAGTTCAACACTATATTACTGGCAGAGTTCCAGCAGCCTGTTTCACACCCTGTAACAGCTTGTGTACTACTAACTGATCCTACCAGGAGTGCTGGGGTTCTCATGTTTCAGCTAAATGTGGGTTTAAAGAGATACGCCATCACAGCAAGCACTCACATTGGCATTGTACCATCCATCTTTTTCAAATGTTCACCCGTCTTCAAGCAGACTTAGGCTGGATTTCTCAAGTTTGAAAATGTATCTCCCATCAAACATAATTATTACAGGCATTACCATAACGCCCATCACCATAACAGCTGGACACTAAGAATGCCACTAGAAAAATATTCAAGCTAGACATGGACCCTGGAGATCCTGTTAAGCAACTGCAACAGAGTGAGGCAGTTTGGATTTGTTTTTCTAATCGTATGTGGCACTGATGTCACGTTCTCTTCTACCATGTCAGATAAAATATCTGAAAATGCAAATGTGACAGGTCAGTCTCTGAAGGAGTACAAAGACTACTTAGAATAATAGAATTGTAGAAAAATAAGACTGGAAGACACCTCAACTCATCCAGTCCAATCTCTGTCCCTCCCACATATCTCCCGCCACACACATACTTCTCATTGCTGCCAGTGAAAAAAAGTTGGAAACGCTAAGAAAAGGGTGGCACATACTATCAGCTTGCCCTAAAACCATCATTTCCCCCAAAATCAATCCCTGAGGTGACTATAGAGAATGACTTCACATATTCATTCTAAAAACTGAGATAGTTACAGGCATGTCACAAAACAGTGAAAAATTCCCAGATTCCTCTAGGGATAAAAGAAACTGTAAACAGCTCAGTGGTTAGGAAAGGAGTTATAAATTATTATATCACCCAGAACTTTTTAATAAGATACATATAGTGTTTTATAGTTAGTTTCCTCTGGTATCAGAAAAATAGTATTGTTTTGTATTTGCAATAAAAGACTGAAAGAGAAGGGTCTGAACTCAAACACATCCAAAAACCCAGCTTGTTAAAACATTTTAAAATCTGAACTGGCATCCAGATCAACTTTGGGGAAATGCCCCTTTTTATAATGTCCCAACCCAAAACCTTGAATTTGACTGACTACAAATTTTGAGTTGCCCAAACTCAAGATCTGAATTGTGATTTGAACCTCCTGTATACAAGGTTGATATATCCTAGCCTGTCCAAAATCCAAATCACTTAATTTAGCAAATAAATGAGTAAACAAACAATAAGAAATAGTGCAAGTACATCATTTGTTCACTTATTTTGACAGTTGTAGTTTTAAAATACGCATCAAGGGTCTACCTGAGCCTAGTGTACTCCAGTTTAAGGTACTCCAGTTTCTACAACGAACAGCACACAAGGGAGTGATGTGGGTAGCATCATATCTAGCTTCCATTGACTCCCCAGCACATTTACAGTCACAGCCAGGTCAACTGGGATCCCTCTTTGCCATGAGTCTGAACTAGGGATTTCAGCTCAAATGTTTTAGAAATACAGTATGCCCCCTACCCATTTTGACATCACATTCCAGGCAGATAAGTTTGAATGATTTGTGACAATATCACAGTAGTATAACTAGAGGAAGACAAGTCCCAGGATTCAAATTAGTGGGGGTGCAAGGTAGTCAGTCCCCAGACAGCCTGCACCACAACAGCAGGG